TATAAAAGAAGGAGGAACTACTTAGTCCCGCGCCCCCAAGTGGTTATCCGTGTAATATGTTTATATCCTTCAGCTGTTTCGCGTTCTTGTGTTTTCGATTTTCTTTCTTTTCTCTCTTGATCTTTGAAAATCAATGACAGAGAAGAAAACAACGGTGTCACTACCAATGGCATATTTACAATTCCATTTATATTTATGGCTGATAAGTTGCAGTGAGTGTGTGGCAATATCCCTGTGGCAGGCGGATTCCAGATTCTCTCCCTTGCTGCGTTCAGGATGTTGCTCTTTCCAATAGTAGTAAAATTGTCCGTTTCTCGCCTACACCTTTCATCCTAGTGTTCAAAGCACCACCTTTCCAACCTTGCAAATTACCATCACTGTGTTTTTACTCAAACTGTTTTTCTTCAGCTGGAAAATCTGTCTCTCTCTCTCTTTTCCATAAATCCCAAACTCTGACCTTCTCAGAAAAAGATCCTTTAACATATTAAAACCAATTTTATGTGGTATATAATTGGGTTGCAGTCTTGTCTCCTCTAATCATTATTTATTAGAGGACAAGACATCAAGACTAACAGCAACACTGAATTCTACTGTATAATTGACAACCAATTGTTATATAATTGGTGCCCAATATCTTTAACGCGTGGCTTCTTTACTATATTTTGAATTATTAAATACTTAGTACTGAGGCTTATGCTGGCAAAACTGGTGCTCAGTGAATAATTTCTGAATGACCACCATTTGTTCCAAATCCCTTAAAAATACAAATTTTGGTATTTGGACAATCACTAATTGTGAATTGCAACTTTAGCAAATAACTGACCAGATAGGAAACTACAAGTAGACAGGGTGACTATCCTGAACAGGCCTATTTGTTTATTTTATGTCATATAACATTCATTCTCCAGTTTATTCATTCATTTGATTGCTCATTCATTCAACAAACATTTAGAAGCGCTATGTGCCAGACTCTGGGTTGTCAACTTTCTTCTTATGGTTTGATACGAGTAAATTGCAGTTCTGGAGCTCTAACATTCAGTCCCCACCCTTTGTTTTATTGGAAACTGTCCTAACTTGAGTCTTCAGTCCTCCTTAGGGCCCAAGGCAAGGAGAATAAGAATACCTTTTAAGATGTTCGTTAGTTCTAGATGCCAGCAGAGTTTATACATCAGAACCTAACTGGAAAAAAATGTGCCCTGGACACTTAAGAAATTTCTATTTCTCCCAAGAATGAGGAAACTACAAAATATAACTCGTTAGGTAAAATAATGTAACCACTTCAGTTTTCTGGAAACCTCCATCTCTACAGTTACCAAGAGGTCTGTCGCTATGCTCATCTTTCCTACTTGCATTTACTACAGTTATTGTCATTTTAGGGCTTTTTTTTTTTCTTACTCCTACTTCTCTCTAGTGATTGAAAGGGTTTGTCTTTTACTCTGCAGGTGCCACTAGAGTATCACATTTGCCCTCCCAACCATGATACAGGAAGACTGACGGTAACGAAACTCAGGATGTCAATTGCCCAACTCACAGTGAGAAATGTCTCTATCCTGGTGAGAGGAATGCCTGTGCTCTCTCTCCAATGTACATTCTCCCCTCATAGGTGAAGCAGAAGTAGTACATAGGTGGCAGCAAGGCACAGGGAGACAGAGGAGCTTGAAGAACATTTTATTCCAGCCACAGTAAATGAAGAAGCCTGGTGACATATCCTTCTATACAATGAACCCTAAAGACCCCATTACCCATGTTCCCCCAACTTGGTGCCCAGGGACACTCGAATTTTCAGATTTTCAAAAAGTTCCTAGAAAAATGCAACCTCTTTCCTGGATTGAGACATTCTCTCTGTAGAAATGTTCATGAAACTGGTTTAGCGCCAGGTAAATCTTTCTCAGTGTGGCCTGGGATTCATCTTTGACTCTATCTGATATTCATCAAATCTCAGTCATCCAGGAATGGCTTGCTATCACCACCCACAGATCACAGCATTCCATTTTCTTCTGGCAACAGACCTTAAAAAACAAGGAGGGAGAGAACGCCAGTGAGAGTACAGCGGGTGGAAGAGAATTCTACTACAATCACAGAGATGTCGGAAATTTTGGTGCCTGACACCCTCTTCCTACTTCTCCCATTAATTCCAGCTCTAGAAAATTCTGTCCATATATATTTGCCATCACTAGTTGCTCCTGGGTGCCCCCTATCTGATCTCTATTAAGAGAAGACTTAACGCCCTGAGATGTTCCCAAGGCAAAACCCCTCCTTATTAGTGCATTTATTGTGCAGTGCGTGGAGCGGGAAGTCTTTGAGGCCAATGGATCTGCACATAGGTAACTATTATCAGACAAGACTCTGCACATGATTTTCCTTCTTACTGACTCTGTGGGGAAAATTCTCCCCAAGGAGCCCATTCTTTTTAGAGGCAAGGCAGCCCATTAAAAATGACTTTTCTCATCTGATGGAAAGTCTTCAGTTGATTCTGACTGTATGCCTGGACTGATTGAGCTGGAAAGAGGAGTTTCCAGGAGGAAGAAGGAGGTATCTGAAGAGGAGGTTTGTTGAGTGAGACCTTCAGGCTCACAATAGTGATTGAAATCCAAAGCTTTTGTTTGTTTGTTTGTTTTCCATTTACTATCTCTACAGAAGAATCAGAAACTACAATACAAGGCCTATGGCTAAAATCAACCTCACATGATTTTGTTTTTCTTTGTAACTTCTCTAGATTAATTCAATAAACATTCATTCTTCTATTCATTCAACAAATATTTATTAAGTATCTACTGATGGTCTGATATTGTTTATCGTGGAAACACTTTGCTGCGCCAGCAGGCTCCGATTTCACAGTAGCCCTTCTGTTGCTTCCTTGGGCTCCACACCTAGATATCTAACTGCCTTCTGATTGACCGTCTGGGTGTTCTCAGCTCTTTCAGCTGTGTTCAAGGCCCAGCTCATTAGCTTTCCTCACAGACCAGGTTCTCTTCCTGGGTTTTTAGTCTTAGTTAACTGGTAGCATCATTCACCACTCTGGCTAGAAATTGGAGGTCACATCTGTCTTTGATTAGACTTCCCATCTAATTTATACCCAGTCCTGTCATCCTTTTGTGAAATGTTTCCGCAGTCCTCATCTTCCTCTCCACCATCACTGCCAACACCTTATCTCATGCTCTCTTCACTCTTGCCTTGTCTGTTGCAGGAGTCATCCTTTTAAAACACAGATCTGAACTTGTCACTTCCTTCTCATCACTCCCCACTGCCTATACGATAAAGACAACCCCAGGCTCTTCAAAATATTACCACAGCCTACTTTTCCAGCATTCTCTCTTTCCCCTCTTTCACTCATTCCCCCTGAAGTTCCAAACCACACAGGATTAACCCACTATTCCTTGCACCCAATACTGCTTTCTTGTTTCTGAGTTTGCTTTTCCTGTTTCTCTCTGGTGAAAATTTATTCAGCCTTTAAAATCCACCTCAAATGCTACATCCTCTGTGCATCTTTTCCAGACGCCTCACAGGCCAGTGGTTCTCAGAAGAGGGAGGTAGCTGTATTGAGGTACATCACAGTCAGTGGAGAAGCTTTTAACATAACATGTGTCTTTGAGAACCACTGTCCCTGTTGGCCTTACGGTTTCTCCTTTGTTCGACCTTCTCTTCAAGCATTGAAAAATATTTAGTTCAGTAGTTGCTTGCTACACTGACTGGTAGACTCTGTGCTTCTTGAGAGTAAAGTCTAGGTATTCTACATCTGCAGCACATAGTAATTGCTCACTTAATGCATTTGTATTCTTTCCAACCTATGACATTCCAGAAACACTTCATGAGGATCTTGCTGAGAGAGAAATAGAGTGAAATCGTTCTTTTTCTTTTTCGTTTTCCCTCACTAGTGCTAAAGTAATTATTATGAGTTTGCTGAACTATAAGGGTAGCAGGGTAAAATAGCTAAAATATCAGGAAAGGTGTTCATAAGGTTGACTTGAGACAAAACCCTGAAATGAGGGGCTGCATTTGGGTGCTCTCACCATGCTCTTCTCCCACTCTCATCCTAATTGTCTAATACTTGTTTCCTTCTCTCACACTATTGGCCTCCCATCTGGATTTTTTCCTTTTTTTCCTTCACCCTCATTTTTCTTGTGCTCCTGTCCTTCCGTTTCTCCCTTTTGTGGGCTGTTCTCATAAGGACTCTTCCAAACACTTTCCAGAATTTATTGGGCAACCAGTAAGTGGCAGACACCGTTCTGGGCCAAGGTAGCCAAGTGGAGCCGGCTCAGAACGGCACTTCAGAGTCTGGGTGGGGAACTTGACAATTTTTATTGACAAATCGAGGGATATTTTGTTTACAAAAGCAAAACAAACAAAACCCCATTCATTTGTGCTCCAGGTAGTAGGAAAGAGTTCCCCGTTCCCAACCCTTTTTAAGCCAAAACAGGGGTCTCCTAAGAGGAGATTCAGACAAGATGGAGACTTCTTTTTAAGCTAGTAGATTTCTCAATATGCACACATAAATTATCTGATCCAGGCAACGGACAGGCCTTAGAGACAGGACAAGGGGAGAGATGTGTTCTATCTGAACGACTGAATCAGAAGTCTCTCCCCATCGTAGCCCTCGTTCTTTTTTTTTTTTTTTTTTTAATTTTGTAAACGAACAGCTTCTTTTCCTTTAGGTAAGGCTCAAAGAAACCGGGAAAAGCTGAAACAGGCGAAGACAGACAATGAATAGATCTGGAGGACTGGACCCTTAAAGAGGCAGAGGAGACGCTGGCAGGGGGGGCGGGCGGGCCAGGACAGACCAGCGGACAGCCACGCAGGCAGGCAGGCAGGCAGAGGGCTTGGCGGCGGTCGCCTCGGACAGCCGGGGACCTCCAACGCCGGCGTAAGGAGCCTGGGTGGGACCGAAAAGGCGGGGCCCCGCCTGCAGAGAGGGAGTGATGGACAGTCGGTGCCTTCCAATCGGGTCCTTCAAAGTGCGCGGAGCAGGCCAATGAGCGGACAGCTGGGGCCGGCGCGGGGCCGAGGTCTGGGCGGAGGGCTGGCTGGCAGCGGCTGGGGCCGCCTGCGGGGATTGCGGCGTGGAGGTGCTAGCAGACGCGGGCGGCGGCGAGTCCCGAGCCCCCGGGCCGGAGCCGAGCTAACCGCAGTTGGGACCGGGGCCCAGAGCCGCGGCGGCTGCGGCCGGAGGACGATGGCAGCGCCCGCCGGGGCCGGGGCACTGATTGCATCCTCAGACCGCAGGCGCTGGCTGTGGTCGGTGCTTGCGGTGGCGCTCGGGCTCTGTGAGTGAAGCCGGGATGGCGGGGGCGGCGGGGCCAGGTGGCGGGCCCTGCGCGCGCGGGGCGCCGAGGTGGGGAGGGGGCGCGGCCTGCACGCCCTGGGGCCCGGGGAACGGAGCCGGCGGACCCCGCGACGGGCTGGAGAGGCGCGGAGCCTCTTTCTTCTTCCTGGATCCCTGCGTGTGGAGGAGGCGGGGAGAACTCCCTACCTTGCTCATTCCTGGGGGGCTGTCTGGGGAGCGGGCCCGGCGGGAGGCCGCATTGCGCCCTCGCTGAGTCGCCCACCGTCTCCGCCTGGCGACTCTGGGTCGCCCAGGCCCGCTTGGGATTCCGGTTCAGGAACCCGGGCTTCTGGCGTTCTCCACCTTTGGGAGGTGGCGGAAGGTTGCAGGGTTTTCATTTGTAGGGCCTTTGTTGATTGTTTCCCTTTAAGCGACCGTTTTGTTTTACCTTGTTAGTTCCATTTCCAGTGCTCTCCAGCGCATTTTTTAAGCCTCTGAGATAGAAGGGTCCCGGAGTCTCATTTGTCTCATCTCTGTCGTCCGCAGAGCACCAGGAAGAAATTTACATTACTTCTGTGTTAGGAAGCAAAGAGCTGGGAATACCACTGGAGTGACTTGGCTTAAAAGAGTTTGGTCCAATCCATAATAATTACAGTCCTAGTCACCGTAGTTTGACAAGACATAGGACATTAAAAGGCTCATTTTTCTTTAAAAAAAAAAATCACGTTTTTTTCCTTGCCAGATTTCATGAGTGAGACATAAAGTAAATCTCAGGCTGGATTTATTGAATTGGATGAGTTGTTTTACGGACATCTGCAGTGGTGCCTGCCACAGGACTTTTTTTGTGTGTGTTGTTCAAGGCAGAGTACTTGTTGCTGTCTCAGAATGTGGTTAAGTAATGGTCATAAAGAGAGCCAACTCCTAAAAAACCACGGAGACTTGTTCATTTCTTTTGTTTTGCGAAATGTCAGTTGCATGACAATATCTGAACATGAGTATACTCAGTAATTACTTTCATGGAAAAGTTCTTAATGTAATCTTTGGAGCCAGGAAAAATACCATTTAATGAATGATTCCAGGAGCTGTAAAGTATAAACGTAAAAGCCCCCCCACCCTCTGGAGGTTGACAGATGAATATATACTTTGTATATATAAGACAATCCATTCTGTATAAATATCTCTCCTGAGGGGGGAAAAAAGGGTTAAAAAGCATGGGGGTTTTTTGGTGGTGGTGATGGTGGTAATATTCACGTTTTAAGTGAAGAAGTAGGAAATAGCTTAAAACTAAGGTGTATCAGAAATCTTGTGTGTTCAGAGAGAATTATTATGCATAAGAGGCAGACACTCATCTTTATTGAGGACAAGAACAGTCAGAGTAATCTTAATTAAACTCAAGGAATTAAAAAGTAGCAGAACTGAAAAACTGAATATTAATGGATACTAATACAAAAAGATCATCAGAATTACATCTATATACACCTTGGACATACGTAGCTCTTCCGTAATGAAGGATGAATGCTGATACGTGAAAGTCAGCAGCTGGTGTTATTGGTTAATTTTAGAAAACTACTGAATGTTTCTTCTTTCAAGCTACCTTGTCTTATCATGAATAACTGTACATAGCAGTTCATGTTTGACAGAAAGTCTTCTCAAGTTTGATCTAGATACAGGTATTCAGCAAACATTTACTAAGCATTTTTTAAGTATTAAGCACCAAAGGTATTCTAGGAAGGACAGTCCCTGGCCTCACATAATTTATCATTCAGTGGGAGAAACAAAGTGTGATAAACAATATGAGAAGTCTTTCATTAATGGTTTGCTGTGAGAGCACTAAGGAGAGTCATCATCTCAGACCGAAGTTCAGGCTGCTAGAGAAAGGGATGCTTAAGCTAAGTAGGTGTTGGGAGAAAACAGTATAGGCAGAGTCATGAATGAACCTGTTGGTAGGTCAGTGTCGTGAGAAGTTGGAGTGTGTATAGGAGAGATGGTGGGAATTGAGGCAGGAGAGCCAGCCAGAGGCACGAACTCCTAAAGGACCTTGTTTGCCATGCATAAGGCTGAATTTTATCCTAAGGGCTGTGGGGAGCCTGTGAAGGATTTCTGTGTTTATCGAGGTGTGAAGTGTGAGATAGAATGGTGTGAGGCTGAAGAATCCAGAGGGTTATTGTAACAATCCAGAGGAGGAGGATTGAAGACCTGAATTAAAGCAGTGGGATATGAAGAGAGGACATATCCATGAGCTTGTTAGAAAGTGAATTTGGTGGGGCTTGGAAATCAGTTTGATGTGGACTGGAAAGAGAGGAGTGTAAGATGACCCTAAGGTTTTGAGCTTGGAAAGCTGGGCATAGTTTTGGAAAGTAGGGCTTTTTACAGATGAAGATTATGGATGAGGGGAAAGGAGTGTTGGAAGAAGAGGATGGTAAAGTTACTTTTGGATATGTTGAGTTTAATATGCTGCTGATATATCTCAGTAGAAATGGGACATTTAGGTAGATAGTTTTAGAGGTGAGGAGAAAGCTCTGGTAGAGAGCTGGGAGGCTTTATGCGGGTAGTAGTTAAAGCTATGGATTGCTTGGATGAGGTCAGCAAGGAAGAGTGTATTGAAGGAAATAGCAGAAGGCCAAGGACAGAGTCTTGGGGTATACAGAGCCTGACAAGGAGGCTCGTTGAGTAAATGAAGAACCCGAAGAGTGTGGTGTCTTGGAAACTGAGAGAGAGTGAAGTTTTAAGGAGGAAGTTTTAACTGTGTCAGATGAAGAGAGAGTGAGTACTTCAAGGATTCACTGAATGTGGCAATTGGAATGTCTTTGGTAACCCTTAGGTAGGAATGAACACACAGTATATGAAGAATAAATCTCAGTAATTTGCATCACCCATTTCAGTAAATGGCACCACCATCCATCTAACTGCTCAACCCAGAAACCTGGGATCTGCGCTTGATAATGCCCTATCCTTCACTCCCCACATCCAATCAGTTCTCCCATCTCCAAAATACTTCTAGGAATCAACCACTTCTTTTTTTTTTTTTCTCTCACCCACTTTTTTTCTATCTGTGGTCCACTCCTAGCATTTTAGTCGAAATCACTCTCATTTCTTGCCTGTGATACTGTGATAGCCTCCCAGCTGGTCTCCCCATTTTCCCCTCTTGCCTCTTTTTAGTCCATTCTTCACACAACTGCAAGAATGACTTTATAAAAATGCAAATCAGATCATGTTGCTTTCTCATTTAAAATTCTTAATGGCTTCCCATTGCACTCTGAATGACATCCCAACTTCTCCCCATGGCCTATAGTTGTCTATGTGATCTGGTTTCTGCCTGCCTCTCTGACTTCAACTTGTGCCCCTTGCTCACTATATTCAAGCCATGCTGCCATCTTTCTGCTCTTAGACACTCATTCCCACCCCAGGTCCTTTGCACTTGCTTTTCCTGCTGCCTGGTGTGCTCTTTCCCCAAAACTGCCCAGAGCTGTCTCCTTTTCATCAGTGAGGCCTTAGCTTAAACGTCACTTCCTCAGAGAGGCCTTCTTCAACCACCCTATCCAGTGGGGTCCCCTGTTATCATTTCTTGGCCCTTTATGTCCTTATTGTAATTCCTCACTATTTGGTGGTTCTTCTCTTTTCTCCTCCACTAGAATCCAGGACAGCGATAGTGTTGGGCTTGCTTATAGAAGTATCCCTAGTGCTTAGTGTAGCGGATATGATAGATACTAATAAATGTTTATTAAATGGCAAGGAGGCGTAGGTGTGTCTTGATAACAGTTTGTTACTAGTTTGCCACACGTAGTTAGGATTTAGCCTGGCACATAGTAGGTATCCAAGAAATGTTTGTTGAAAGAAGGAATATTTTTTCCAAGTGTGATTTTTATACATTATCTGATAATTGTCACTCTTTGAGTACTATTTCATATTTCTTCAGAAATGTATGGAATGAATTAACATTCTTCAACCACTTTAAGCACTATAGTTTTGGAATTACTATTTATTATATACCAAAATTGTTTTATCATGTTTGTTATAGTATCTAAGTGTTTTATCAATAAAACTTTTATATTTTTTGATGTTTGTTGACCAAATGTAGACTTCAAATATTACCCCTGTAGTTGAAAGGCCACTAATCTAATTACCACTTCCCACAGCCTTTTACTCCTTATTTACTAGTTGAGATAATAAAACAAAAACTTAGTTTTGTATTTTTTTAAAAATATTCGACCACTCATTTTTACCCTAATTCCAGGGTATTCACTAGGCTCAGAAGCTGCCAAAAAAAGAAATAAAGACACTATTAAGTGAAAGAAAGATATATGTGAAAAGTATATAAAATGCAAATTTGTGTTTTCACAAAGTCTTTATTCACTTATTCAACCAAATGAACACCTACTGGGTGCCAGGCACTGTTTTAGGTACCGTGGATGCAGCGGGGAGCCTAAGCCTAGATTCTAGTGGGAGGTGACAGACTATTCAAATAAAATAATGAACACCAAAGGACGGTTTAAATTCCTGACAGTCACCACATTTAAGATATTCACCTATTGTGAAAGGCTGCGGTAAAAAAAAAAAGAGGGAGAGGGAATACTATTGGCATTACAAAATAGATGTTTTTTTTAAATTTCAAAGGATCCATTGTGGGATTTCATTAATGGTTGCTCTTTCCTACTGAGTTTAAAATGTGATTTAATTGGGAAAAACATAAGGCTTCCCTGGTGGCACAGTGGTTGACAGTCCGCCTGCCCGTGCAGGGGACGCGGGTTCGTGCCCCGGTCCCGGAAGATCCCACATGCTGTGGAGCGGCTGGGCCCGTGAGCCATGGCCGCTGAGCCTGCGCGGCTCCGCCAACGGGAGAGACCACAACAGTGACAGGCCCGCGTACCGCAAAAAAAGACAAAAAACAGAATATAATACACACAGTTTTTCAGAAATATTGCTGCCTCCCCTCCACCTAGTTAATGCTGGTCTACCTGCTAAATATTCCTCACATTCCTTTCTATCGCCACTGAGGCTGAT